AGGGGAATGGTAAGGGGGTGATGGCCCTCTCAGGCACCCCTGCCACTAGTCCTGTACTTCCCAGAATGAATACACCATCCTGCCCTATTCCATCATGGGCATCCACGGCTACATTCTGGTGTACTCAGTGACATCCCTGCAGAGGTGAGGGACACCAGGGCTGGGGCTGTGTCCCCTGGGGGTGAGGATAGATCCCCTGGTGGGGGGCAGTGCCTGGATCTTTCCTTGTCCCTACAGCTTCCAGGTGGTGACGACTCTCCATGACAAGCTCTATAAGAGCCAGGGGAAGACATGGTAGGTGCTGTCCTTCCTGGCAAGGGCCTTTGTCCTTCCTGGCAGGCGCCTGGACCCTCACCCTCTCCTTGCCCACAGCATGCCTGTGGTGCTGGTGGGGGAATAAGGTAGATGTCTCCCTGGAGAGGTAAGGGAGGCTCTGGGGGATCTGTGTGCCCCCTCAGTGGCCCATCCTCTGCTGTGTCTCTCTCTAGATGGGAAGTGAGGACAGAAGAAGGGAAGAAACTGGTGGAGTCATGGGGAGTAATTTTCCTTGAGTCCTTGGCCAAGGAAAGCCAGGTGTGGGGGGGTCACATCCCACCTGGGGCTGAGACTGGGGTCTCTGGGGGGCTAGGGCTCATGTCCTGTTGTCCCCAGGGGATCCAGCTGGTCTTCAGGAGGATCATTGAGGAGACTGACTGTGTGGACAATTCCTGCAGCAGATCCACTGGCTGCTGCCTGATGTGACCCCCAGGATGGGGCAGAGCCCCCCCAGGACTTTCCTCCAGACCACAGTGGTGGCCCTGGGGGTCCACATGATCTTGCTGTGGTCTGGGACCCCTCACTTTACACAGGCTGTGGGGCTGATGGGGGCTGGGAGTAGGGTGGGGGTCCTGTCCCAGCCCAGGGATCCCCCAGCTCTTCACTCCTGTCCCCCCACACGCACAGGGCCAGGCAGGGGCCGTTCCTGCCACGAGCTGGGGCTCAATGCGGGTGTTGTTCACACGAGGCCGTGGTCCGGCCGATCCGGACCCGTGGGAGTCAGGGCTGGAACAATTAAACCTTGTTTTGTCTGGGAACCCCTGGGCTGGGGAGGCTGTTCCTGCCTGGGGGGGTGAAGCAGAGTGTGGGGCTGCCCCCAGCACGGGGGTCCCTTCAACCCTGGCCGTGCTGTGAGGCTGAGCCCCCACCACGGGGCTGAGCACACCAGGACCATTGCCAGAGCTCTGGGGGGCTCTGCAGCCCTGTCCCCCCATTTTTCTCCCCTGAGAGCTGCAGCCTGGGCTGCATGAGTGGGGGGGGCTTGGCTTGGTCTGGCTGCGGTTCCCCATGTGGCTTATCTCCACCCAGTTTAGATAATTGCTGCTAATTACCCAATTATGGTGGTGGAAAGGA